TATATATATATATATATATAATATAGTTTAAATATGAAATTTTAAAAAGGAAAGGCACGCTAGAAATGTGAACGATGGTAATTTCTCTACAAATCCAACGGTCAACGCAAAATGTGAATGTGAAGGGAATAGTTGACCGACAAGGAGACCACATCGTCCACCCAGTGTAGCGAGGACGACCAAAAAGCAACTCAACTAAAACGTAGGAGACGCGCCGCCACCGCCTTCGGCGGCGGTGCCTGGGCGGATATCTTTTAGCAGAGCCACCACCTGCTGCATCGCCGGCCGTTTCTCCGGCGACTTTGCCGTGCACAAATATCCAACCTTCAAACACTCCACGGCCTCCTTCTCCCACTCCGCCTCCAACTGCAGCCGCTCGTCAACTACCGCCGCCACTGCCGCCGGGGGCCCGTCCCTCACCACCACCCGTAACCTCTCAACCTCTTCCTCCGGCCAATGTTGCCGCCCCGTCACCAGCTCCATCACCACCACCCCGTAGCTATACACGTCATCCTCAGCCGTCGTGCAACCGCCTTCTCCGGCGAAGTCGGCGATGCGGGGTTCGAGGTCGTCGGAGATAAGAATATTGGACGGGACGAGATGGCCGTGGACTACGGGGGTGTGTGACCCAACCCAGCCTTGGTGCAGGAAAGCGAGTCCTCGTGCTACGCCGAGAGCTATGCGGTGGCGTGTTGGCCAGTCTCCGACGGCTGTGATGATGCCGCCGGCAGCGGCAGCGGAGGATGAGGATGGCCTGGTATCGCTGGGGGGATTTTCCCAGGTGTCTCCAGTCCAGTCTTCGACGTCCGGCTGACCGGCGGGAAGCTCGTGGAGCCAACGGTGGAGATCGCCGCGTTCCATGTATTCGTACAGTAACAGCTTTTCCCTTCCTTCAAAATAGACGGGAAGGGGCAAAATGAAATTTTAGAGAAAATAGGGTTTTACTTAAAAAATATTAGGCCCATCTCATCTGCATTTGCAAATTAAATTTATTTAATTTATTAAATTATTATATAGATATAATCATTAATTAAGATTATTTATCATAAGAATAATAAAATTATTCTCTATGTTTCATTCTCTTTTTATTGGTATTAGAGATCGTATAAATAAATTATGCCTA